GTCTGCACAGACCCCACAGCCACGGAGTCACCTTCTCCACATCCACCTCCCAGTCCCCACCCAAGACACATGGCTGGCAGTCAAATCTCGGGGTTGCCGGGCAGGATCTGCCTGGAGGGGCCCCGCCACATCCTCCTCTGGTCCCGGGACAGGAAGAGCTCGGGGTGGGCGGTGTCTGGGGCAGGAGCACGTCAGCTGCACGGGAAGTCTGGGGGTGAGGCCTGGGCGCTCAGGAGGACCCGGGAAGCTGGGAGAACATACCCACAGGGTTGGGACCTCCAGAGGCCCCGTGATCTTAGACCCCAGGCAGCTCACAGAGGAGAGCCCCTGAGGCTGCATGTCCACCTGCTGAGTGAGGGGCGGGGCCTCAGGGAGAGCTCACCTGGGCACTAAGTGAGCAGAGAGTTTAGTAAAGGAGCTGAAGTTAACGTCTCCTACTTTCTCTCCACATCCTGAGATGTGCCCCCTTTTCTATTACAAACCGATGGTCTCTGGGACTCTGTTTGGTTGCAGACTTCCCAAACCAGCTTCATACACGGGGGACCCTGTCCCCTCTGCCTCCCTGTGAAGCACTTTGGGCCACTCACCTGCCCCCAGAACATGGGACCTGCTGTCTCACAAGGAGACCCCGACCCCCTAGTGAGTGACGTCTGCTCCCTCCTCTGTGCCCCTTGTTCTTGCCCCAAACCCCTCAGGGAGAGGGTCCCCTGCAGGTGAGGCCCTACAGCCCCCCAGTTCATGGGTGGTTTTCTCTTGAACAAAGGATGTCAAACTCTTTAACAAATACTTTCATTTTTGTCACTTGACAGGGCCGAGGAGACAGAGGAGCAGAAACACCTGCAGTCACCATTGGAAGGACCAGGTGAATGAAAACCAAAAACTGTCACCGTCCCCGCTGAACCCCCATCTGTGTCGCCTGGTCACTGCAACCCCCTCCCCTATCTTCTGCCGACATCCGTGCAGTCTGTCCTCACACAGCTCCCTCCTTCAGGTCACGGTACTGCTCTGCTCCAGTCTCTGCCGTGGCTCCTGTCTCACCGAGACTCCACCACAGGCCCCCTGTGACCTGCTTTGCCCCATCTGGCCCCTTCCAGGTCCGCACTCCCCTCCTCCCATTCTCCCTGCACTCAGTCCCTCCACCCACACCTGCTTCCCGGGTTCCTGGAAACCGCCAGATGTGCTGCTGCCTCAGGCTCAGGGCCCCTGTCCCTCCTGTTCCCTGGTGCTCACCCCTCACGTGCCCTGTTGCCACCTTTTCCTAAAAAATATATTTTATTTATTATGCTATTACAGTTGTCCCATTCCCCCCTTTATTTCCCTCCACACTGCACTCCCCTACCCACATTCTCCTTCTTTAGTTCGTGTCCTTGGGTCATACATATAAGTTTTCTGGCTTCTACATTACCTATACTGTTCTTAACCTGCCCCTGTCTGTTTTCTACCTACCATTTATGGTACTTTTTCTCTGTACTTCCCCCCGTTCCCCTTCCCACTAATAACCCTCCCTGTGGTCTCCATTTCTGTGATTCTGTCCCTGTTCTAGTTGTTTGCTTAGTTTGCTTTTGTTTTAGATGTGGTTGTTAATAATTGTGAGTTTGCTGTCATTTTACTGTTCATATTTTTAATCTTCTTTTTTTCTCAGAAAAACCCCTTTAATGTGTCATATAATAAAGGCTTGGTGGTGGTGAACTCCTTTAACTTGACCTTATGTGAGAAGCACTTTATCTGCCCTTCCATTTTAAATGAAAACTTTGCTGGATAGAGTAACCTTGGATGTAGGTCCTTGCCTCTCATGACTTGGAATACTTCTTTCCAGCTCCTTCTTGCCTGTAAGGTCTCTTTTGAGAAATCAGCTGACAGTCTCATGGGAAATCCTTTGTAGGTAACTGTCTTCTTTCCTCTTGTTGCTTCTAAGATTCTCTCCTTATCTTTAATGTTGGCTAATGTAATTATGATGTGCCTTGGTATATTCCTCCTTGGCTCCGCCTTTGGGGCTCTTTGAGCTTCCCGGACTTCCTGGAAGTCTATTTCCTTTGCCAGATTGGGGAAGTTCTCCTTTATTATTTGTTCAAATAAATTTTCAATTTGTTGCTCTTCCTGTTCTCCTTCTGGCACCCCTATAATTCAGATGTTGGAATGTTTAAAGATGTTCTGGAGGTTCCTAAGCCTCTCCTTATTTTTTTGGATTCCTGTTTCTTCATTCTTTTCTGGTTAAATGTTTCTTTCTTCCTTCTGGTCCACACCATTGATTAGAGTCCCATTTTCCTTCCCATCACTGCTGGTTCCTTGTACATTTTCCTTTATTTCACTTAGCATTGCCTTCATTTTTTTCATCTAATTTATGACCAAATTCAACAAATCCTGTGAGCATCCTGTGGGCATTACCAGTGTTTTGAACTGTGTATCTGATAGGTTGGCTATCTCTTTGTCACTTAGTTGTATTTGTTCTGGTGCTTTGATCTGTTCTTTCATTTGTGCTATCTTTGTTGTTGTTGTTGTTTGTCTGGGTGCCTGCTTCGTATAAGGGCTGGAGACTTAGGTGTTTGCCAGGGCCAGGCAACCCACGTGGCTGCGTTGGATGCTGTGTGCGGGGGAGGGTCCGAGAAGGAACAATTGTGCTAGCTCTGTTCTCTGCCAGATTTCAGTCACTTCTCTTGCTACCCAAAAGCAAAGTGGGCCCTTCTGGTGCTGATTCCCAGGTGGGTGGGTTTGTGTATGTTCTAGGACCCTGTGGGTCTCTCCATGAACTCCTCTGTGAGGCTGGGAGTCTCTCCCACTGCTGTCTCAACCCACCAGGTGTTTTCAATCAGAGGTTTGAGGCTTTATTTCCCCGCACTGGGGCCCTGGGTTGTGCAGTCTCTCCTGTTCCCCAGCTGTTCCTCCCAGTTTATCTGCATATGAATGTGGGACCACCCACTCCACTAGTGGCAGCCTTGCCTGCCCGGTCTTCCACCACCACTTTGCCGAGAGTCCTTTCCACCCAGCTGCCCGTCTCCACCCCTCCTACCTGTCTGGATGGATGTTTCTTCTTTAACACCTTGGCTGTTGGACTTCCATACAGTTCAATTTTCTGTCAGTTCTGGCTGGTTTTTTTGTCTTTAAATTGTTGTTCTCCTTCTTTTGCTTGTGCGAGGACTCACAGTGTGTCTACCTACACCTCTATCTTGACCGGAAGTTCAAACTCTGTTGTCACCTTTTCAGTGAAGCCTTCCCTCACCTTTCAGGTTACATCACAGCTCCCCTGCCTCTAGCCCTTCACACACTCTCCCCGGATTAATTTTTCTAAGCACTCATCATCATGTGACATAATACTTTAATTAATTATGTTACTACTGGCTTTAATTAAGTATTATATAGATTAATTTCTGTTTCTCTACAACATGAGCCCCATAAGAAAAGGGGTGTTCATGCATTTTGTTCCCTGATTTATCTCCTGTTTCTAGAACTGAGCCTTGAACATATGTGATCTTTGCTAAGTGTTCATTGAATGACTTTATGAGTATCTGTAGATGTAGACTTTCCCAGCTCTGTGCTTGGAAAACCCCACGGGCAGAAGGGGAGGCTTCAGCATCAGCACCACCAGGTGCAGACAGCCCCCTGCCCCCACCACTCTCCACGGTGTGTGATTGTTCTGAACACACAACCGTAGCTGCAGCATCAGAACCACAACAGGAAAAATGACCAGATTTACCCTCAGAGAAGAGGCTCCTCCTCCTGGGATGTGAGACCCTGTGATGCTTCCTTGTGATGAGGGGAGAGGCTCAGCTCAGCTGCAGCCTGAGCTCCTCAGGTCCCAGGACCCTCCCAGCCCTGCCCCTCCCCCAGCCCCACTCAGGCTCCCAACTGTCTGCTGAGGCTCCTGTGTCCAAGGGCTGGGCCCCCAGAGGGCAGGGAGCTGACCTGGAAGGAAGACCCCAGAGCCCCTCTCCTGGCCCAGCAGGTGTTGTTGACGGAGCAGGGCTTGTCCTCAGAGAGCTGTCCCTGTTGATCACGGCCATGGTGACCCTGCAGAGGCCGTCTGTGTCCTCGGAGTGAACCTCCTCGAAGTTGGCATGAGCTCACCATAGGGGTCCCCTACACTGCTCGGGGCTCTGTGTACCACCCTGCAGAGGTGCACTCTGACCAGACACCCCCATCCTTATGGCCCTTCATCTCAATGAGGGGCAGACCCTACATCTGAGAACAAACAAAAATATCTAAAATGTTTAATTCCAAAGCATGTTACTGGCTATGACCCTTAGAGATCTCTGAGCAGCAGCAGGGGCTAGTCCGTGGGGTTCTACCATCTCCCCTGCTCATGGCCCCACTGAGCTCCCTGTGCTTTTCACGACTCGATCTGCTCACTCAGCCCTCATGCAGGGGGAGGCCCCCCAACCAGGTTACACGGGACCCTCAACAAACACCTGCTGGTCTGTGGGGGGCCTAAAGTGCCGAGAGAAACTATCCCCAAAGGTCACACAGTGAAAAAGTCACCAAAGAGAAACAATGGACCTGCCCCCATCAGGCACAGAGTGGCCTCATCTCAGGATGTGGCTGGTTGGGAATGACAGGGGTGGATGGTGCTGTCCTGGGCTGTGACATTGTGAAGGAGCAGGGCCACCCTCCCCTTGCTCACAAAGGTCGTTCGTCCTTGGCACTGTCTCCACTGGACACTGCAGGTAGCACACGAGCACGGGCCCCACCAACAGTGACTCCACTCCTGGGACCCTGTCTCCATGACGTTCCCCTCACCTGACTTGTTCCCTCATATCTGTCCCTGAGAGAACGACCCCAGATGTTCCCAGCCTGGAGGGTCTCAGCTTCCTCTGACAGCAGCAAGGAGGGCCGCCTGGGTCCTGTCACTTCAGGGAACTCAGCTCTGCCAGCAGCCAGAGTCAGCAACACAGACTGGTCCTTGGGTCACCCCCAAAACAAAAGCAAACAAACAAACAAGAAATAGCAGTCTGCAGACACCTTAAACACAGTCTGGCGAGAGCCATGCTGGATTCTGAGCCAGAGAATTGTGAGATAACAGATTTGTATTATATTAGGTCATGAAATTCATACTATTATAGCAAAATAGAAAGTTAATCCAATAAACATTGGGAAAAATGTGCCAGGGAACTAAACTGTGAACCTGGTGAGTCATCCACGGGGTTAGATCTAGAAAGAGCTCTATCAAAGGGCGACAATTATTGACACATTTATTTAACACATGTGACCTGACACCCACATGCCGGGGGAGGGGACACATGGTGAACAGTCACAGTGATGATGATGATGAGGAAGAGCGGCCTTTCCCGAGGACCCACAGGTGACAGGAACCTCGGGAACCTCAGTGGGTGGTCAGCGGTGGGCGTCCCTGTCCTGGACGTGGGTCCCACCATGTGATGGAACTTCCACTGACGTCCGTCTGTCCCCCTCCCCCCACCGTCCTGCTCACAGAGGACCTCCAGGTGGGAGGTGGGGGGGTGGGTCTGCTCTGTGTGCCCACGGGTCACAGGCTGGTTCAGAAAGTGGCCGCTGGTCCCTTCTCAGCCTGTGTGATGGGGTCACTGTGAGTTCATCCCCTGGACCACAGTGTCCTGCAGAGCCCGTCAGTGAAGGGGTGGGCCATGGCTCTGACAGTCAACCTTGAAGGATCCAAGTGGGTGTGGCCTTCACAGTCACCTGCAGTGACCTTTACCCTTGGTGCCCTGGGAGGGACCCTCAGAGCTGCCCATGACCCTGCCCAACAGGACACTCAGCTGCAAAGGGACAGACCAGAGGGAGGGGCAGGGGATGGACATCATTCAGCACTAAAATCTGAGTGAATTATGTACCTCAGTGAACTGCCGCTGCCTCAGTTTCCGCACTTTCCTAATGAGGCTGCCTCACAGGGTTTCTGGGGATGAGTGAGTAAGATTCATCTGAAGCAGGTAGCACAGCACTAGTACCTGTGGAGTCACCTATAGATGTCAGCTCTGGTGGTTCGAAGCCACTGATTCACCTTTGGAAAGTTAACTCACTGTCTGCACCCTGGTTTCCTTGTCTCTCGTGTGAAAACCTTGAATGAATGTTAGTGAAGTCCATCACTCAGTGCGTTTAGTGTTTTCTTGCTGAGAGGTTTTGCTGTCCAGGAGGCCCTCAGGTCCAGGCTGGGCAGCGAGAAGCAGAGACGTTTCTTCAGCCTGAGGGTCCCCATTCCCTCCAGCTGAGCCCGGGGACACTGGGGTCTCCAGGGAGGGGTCAGACCCTGGGTCAGGCACAAGGGACCTCCTCACTCCTTTTTGTGCTGGGCAAATGGTCAAGGGAGTGGGCTCAGTTGTCCAAATCCAGAAAACAGGCCTCAGAGGCCCAGAGAAGCGGGTGTGTGGGAAGGTAAAGATGTGAGACCCGTCGAGGGCATTGTAGAACGAAACCTTGCCCAGCTCATAGTCCAGGAAAACCCCCACCCTCTCGGGGGGGCTCACGTTGGTCAGTGTGGTCTGTGGGTCTGTGAGAGCCTTGTAGTCACTCCCAGGATTCAGCCCCACTGTCCAGAATCCATTCTCGGGGGCCATTTTATCGCCACCTTTCCTCCTCACACTCTCCCTGCACACCCCAACACACCACTGTGCCCTGTCCCCCACCTCCACCTCCCAGAAGTGTCTCCCTGACGTGAAGCTCTCACAGCCCAAAACACACCCATTCCTGCGAAATCTCTTGGGGTTGTCTGGCAGGTCCTCCCATGACTCTGCCCGCTGTAGGCTCCTCTTGTCCTCAGAAACCAGGAGGGTGGGGTGCGCTGTGTCTGGATCCAGAAACACATCCGCTGCAGGGGGTCAGAGGGTGTGGGGTCAGCCATAGTTCCTGGATCAGAGCCTCAGCCTTCAGAGCCTGGTCTGGGCAGGAGGCCAAGCCCACAGTCTGGGGTCCCCAGCCCACCATGGTCGTGACCCTCAGCCACGTCAAGGGAACCGCAGGGGTCTTGTGTTTGGTGAGGAGGGGGAGGGGGAGGAGGGTTGGGATCTGCCATTTTCCTGTTTCTGCCCCAGAATGTCTGAGCCCACCTGTGCTGTGCATTCACATGGGTTAAATGTGAGCCCTGGCTCTGCCCCCTGAGCTGGGGGACGTCCTTTCCTGCACAGTCTCTCTTTCCACAGATATCAGCTACGGAATATCTCGAGTTCAATTTCCTGTCTGTGAAGTGGGGGTAAAACAATGGTCTCTGGGGAGGAATAAGACAAATGGGTTGTGTACTGAGCCCCAGGCCGGGCACAGAGGAAGTGCCTGGTGTGACAACAGACACCATGTCCCTCCTGTGCTCGGGGCCAGGCTGGGGCTCCATGTGCTCTGGGGTCCACTCCCCACCTGTCCCACCCCCTCTGGCCCAGGAGTCAGTCCTCCATGGACAGCATCCCTGGGCCCCTGGGCTCTGGTTACTGTGGGGTTTGGCCAAGGGGAGGTGCTGGCTGGACACAGGAAGGAGGGAGGAGAGGGGGCACAGCGCTGACCCCCACGTCCCCCAGGGAGATGCTGCACCACAGCACGTCCCCCAGGAGCCCCCCCCCAGAGCCCCAGCTGCCTCCTCCAGGCCCCAGGGAGTCCTCCCTGTCCCTCTGCCCTCTCCGGGGAGGTCACAGCCCCCACTGCTGGGAGCCCTGGGGCCCCATATGTTCTTGTTGGTTTCCTAATGTCACCCCACCTCTCACTGTGAACACATCCAACCCCATCTCTGTGTCAGGGATTTCTTTCACCTCCTCATGCTATGACCTTTGACCTACCTCACTGTCCTCAGCCAGCACACCAAAGCCTCCAGGTGACGGTCATCCGTGTCCCTTAAACACGGCCATGAGCACTTTTGTCACTAACAGCCAGAGTGACAGGGGCACCGAGGTCAACTCCACACTGGGGGTCATGTGGGTTATAAAGGGTCACCTGTCACAGGACCACCGGGAGGTGTGGTTGGTGCTGCCCCATTCTTTGTCCCTGTTCCTGTCAGTCATCAGTGCCCGAGTCACAGTGTGAGAAAGTGCTGTAAGGGGTGTGTTGTCAGGGAACAATCTGTGCAGGTTGTGGGGTCCTCTGTCCTCTCTGACCCTGCACCCCTGCGAGTGCATCAGCCTACAGCACAGTCTGTTGCAGTCTGAGGAGTTGTCTGCATCGTTTTTAGGTCTTATGACACCTTCTCCTCACCGTGGTCATTACCGTCAGACAAACACCCCCTACAAACAGGCCGTCTGTTTCCTGCGGGTGCTCTGACAACACACAGTCACCTCCTCACTTGGTCCTTGTCCCAGCTCTCACAGAGCAGCAGTGACTGTGGAACACAGCAGAACTCGGGGACACACAGGGGCAGGAGGGGAGGAGCTTGGTCAGGTCACCCCTCCCTCTCCCTGCAGCCCCTCCCTCCAGCCCCGCCCCTCCTGCCTCTTCCTCCCACAGAGACCTGTGGACCCCAGGATAGCTGCTGTCTCTGGTCCCTGGACTGTCAGTAGGGACCACCTCCTTTGAGACCAGGACCTCTGGTTACCCTCCCAGAAGTGTCCCAGTCAACAGTTGGAGAGGGAAGAGGGAACAGGGGCCTTCAGGGGTTGTCCTGGGGACATAGAGGGGCCCACTCACCAGGCTGGAAGAGGGCCTTCTTCAACCCTGAAAAGAAGGAAACATAGACAAGGAAAGGTCATTCTTTCTGTCCTCCCCCCCACACTGTCCTCCCTGAGCCTCTTCTCTCTCCTCTCCTCAGTCCCCTCCAGCGTCCACTCCCCTCGTCTGCAGCTCTGCGGGCCAGGCTGAACCCTCTCCCAGTGCTGGGCTTCCCTCCATCATGCTGGGGCCATGGGGACACGACCAGGCTGTGCCGGGTGTGGGCGTGGGTGTCAGCAGGGTGAGGGGACACTGGGTCTGGAAGGTCCTGTCTGAGTGACCAGACAGGAGGGGGTGGTGCAGACACAGAGAATGAGCCTCTGAGCTGGACGGGATGGCCCCTCCCCCAGCAGGAAAGGCTGCACCTGCTTCCCCAACAGGAGCCAGGAAACCAGAGAGCCTCAGGCTCACTCACCTGCATAGGCCTGAGACCGCTCCTCACCTGCAAGGGAGACAGACAGTCACCTGAACTGTCATTTCTGAGTCAGTTCCTTTCTCTCCCTTGTGCCCTCCTGTCACCTTCCTGTGTGTCCCCCACCCTCCCCACCTCCCCCTCTGCCTGGTCCCTCCCGGGCGCCCCCTCCTCTTTCCATCAGCTGCAGCTCTGGACCCCCAGGCGCCCTGCAGGGGGTGTCCCAGGGTCACCGCCCAGCTGTCCTGTCCGTGTCTGTGCAGCAGTCACCTCACATCCCTGCTTTAGCTTCTGAAGTTTCAGTTACCTTCTGTCAACCACGGTGGGGGATAGTGAATGAAAATTGCAGAAGCAAACAATTCACAAGTTTTAAATTGCACATCAGTCTCACAAGGGTGATGAGGTCTGATGCTGTTCTTCTCTGACCTGCCCCATTGAGAATTCTTCCTGAATCCAGCAAGTCCACCCTGTGGACCCGTGTCCCCCTTCTGTCACTGAGGACCGTCTCTGTGACAGACGGATATTCACAGAATCACAGCGCTGGTATTGGGTTATCCTTATTTTACCTAAATGACCCTAATGTGGAAGAACAGTGATGCTGTGATGCTGGTGTGCCAACGCGGAACCTTCCTTTACGTGAAGGGGAAAAACCTCGTGTATTCAGGGTTTGGTACCATCTGTGGTCAGACAGCCCCTGGGGTACCTGGACCGAGACCCTGCCATGTAAGAGACGACCAGGTTCTCCAGCACCTGGGTGTGTCTGCGCACACACTGCCCTGTGTACACACGCGTGTACCTGTGTGCTGGGATTCATTCCCCTCAATCTGTATTATTTCCTGCCTACTCTGGAGACAGGGGACAACCTAATGGGAAAATTTCAGATACTATTTTTTCAGCAGTAACGGTAAGTCTGTGACAACTGACATGGCCACTCCTGTTTTTAAGACACTTTTCTCTCTTTCTGCCTTTCTTTTCGGTGCACTACAGAGTTTGTGAGCAAACCAGGGAGGGAAGGACTCCCACACTGAGTCACCTCCCTTGCCCACTCTCCTTCCTTTGGTTGGTCCAGGGAAGGGGTGTTGTCCCCCACCAACGCTCCCTGGTGGAGAGAGACTGCAACCTGTTCCCCACTGAGAGACCACTGCCTGAGGGTCTCATCAGCTACCTCATTTCTTCCCCTGGGAGGTTATTGGGGAAGGGAAGGGGCTGAACTATCTGAGCAGAGAGGCTGAGATGTGGGTCCGGGTCACTCACGTGGTAGGTAGGGTATCTTTGTCCACCCTGCAGGGAACAACGTGAGGGGTCAGTGACTCGTGTAATGCAGGGACCCCAGGACGAGTGGGCCAGGTATTGGGACTTACTGAGTTCCTCCTGCAGCTTCTCTGGAAATAAGCAGAAAAAGAAACTCTTTTAAAGGGGATTGAATAGAGGACCCACATGGTGGCTGTGGGGTGGGACAGGGAGGTGTAACCACCTGCAGCGGGGCCTCACCTTTGGCGCTTCGCTCCCACTGATTCTCAGCCCGCGCTGCTACTTTCTCTGTTCTCTCCCTCTCCTTCTCCTGGGACAGGGCCTGGATCTTCTTCTGCTGTCGCCTCAGGAAGTAGCACATCCCCATCAGAAGCCCCAGCAGAGCCGGCAGGGTCACGCCCAGGGCCACCACCCAGGGCTGCGTGTTCCGGAAGAAGGGGCCTGCGAAGGGTGAGCCTCAGCTGATGGCTACCCTGGGTCTCAGAGTATCTGGGGACTGAAAACAATCGCTCACTCCCCAAATTGCCCAGAACTTTCACTGGCACAGAACACCATTGTCTTGAAGTAACTGCCTCTCACAAGAGAATGTTTTGAATATAAGAAAATATATACAAAGATATTGAAATTTCTCCACTCCTCCCCTCTCTGCCATTTATTATCTCCTTGTGAGTCAGTTTAATTCAGTGATTAAGAATGTGAACCTTGGGGCTGGAGGACCTGGGTTCAAATTCAGAATCTTCGGCCTGACTAGCTCTGTGACCTTGAACTAATGACTTAAGCATCTGTTCCTGGTGTCCTGATGGGTAACAGATTAAATTATTGCTATATACAGTGCCTGACACATAGAGACTACCATGCAAGTGTTTGTTAAATTATAAAAACATAAATGCATTTTTATTTTATCTTGTTCACACCGCAGACCGCACTCCACACCAGCGGGTCCACAGGTTGTTCTCTCTGCTGCCCTGGGTCTGGGCGACCTTCCCGCCTCAGCACAGGGGGCAGGTCTGTGTCTGCTCTCACGGGGCAGCGCCCCCTGCACACACGGCCCATCGGGGGCGCTTGCACCGTCTCTGACTCTTTGTTGTTATAATTAATGTACAGGAAATAACCTTTTCCATGGGTCATTTCAAAGAAATGCAAAACGATGTCAGATAATTTCCCAGAAGTGGGGTCTTGCATAACTGAATGAATAATTTGGATATGGTGGCTCTGGTGTCCCTAACAAATGTTGTGCTTACTGACACCAAAAATGCACCAAACAATAGCCACAAACCTCTAAGAGTCACTGTCTCCCCACATTCCTGCCACCAGAATGTGTAGCCAATTACCTTGATTTTTCCTTTAGTGCCAGCCTCACAGGTGGAAACCACCTCCCTAGTCAGGGATATCAGACACCTTTCCATGAGTCATTTCCTGTTCTGTGAACTGATAATTCCCGTTCTTTGCTCATTGTTCTACTTGATTGTTTTATATTTTAAGAAGATTGGCCCTTTTTCTAAGATTTGTGTTGTACATATTTTCCACCTTTTTTCATGTCTTTGCTGATCTTGACCCTTTGTCCCCAGTTCCCAACTCCTGGCACCGTGTGTGGCCGCAGGAAGACCTCAGAAGGTGTCTGTGACACAAACAGCTTCATGGGGAAGGAGCAGCAGGTCCCTGCTCTGTCCCTTCTGTTCCCTGCACAGACCCAGGTCAGCAGCAGACAACCACACCTTCCCCAGGGACCACCACGGAGCCAAAGGCAGTGGGCAGGGCACTCACCTGGGATGGAAACCTTGGCTGACCTCTCCTGGCCCAGCAGGGGGTTTCTGATGACACAGGACACCCCCTCCCCAGAGCCACCTTCCAGGGTCACAGAGGCTGAGGCTGCATAAAGGCCCTGGGGGTCTGTAGCCTCTGTGTCCCCCTCAGCAGACAAGCTGTGTCCCCTGGCGTCTCTCCACTGGATCTGGGGCTGCGGGTACCAGCCGGCAGACGTGCACTCCAGACGGATCCCTCCAGCCTCGTAGCCCTTCATTTCAATGTGGGGGTCAGAGCCCAGCGCTGGGGAGGGACAGTGAGTCTGAATCCTGGGGAGCCCTGTGCACTGGTGGGGGTCTCCACAGCAGGGAGGGGCACACCCACCCTGGAGGAGACCAGCAGGGATTCACAGGAGCTGCTCCCAGAGTGTGCTGTGCAGGAGAGACTGACCCACAGTGTGACCACTGCCTGACCATCAGTCGACCCTCGTGCTGGATCCAGGGGGATCTGGGCTGGAAATGACATTGTTTCCCCTAAATCCCCTTAGAGACTGCTGGACCCTCCCCTCCCCCATGGCCCTGACATGCTGGTTCCTGGAACAGCCCCTCACCCAACCCTGGGCAAGGATGTAAATTCCCTGTTAGTTGAAGCAGGTCCCACCCCAGTGCCCCATCCATCCCATCTGTCCTGTGTGAACCTCTGCCCTGCCCTGCGTTGTGGGGGAAGGATTTGTGCGTTGTCTTGCTGCCGCCCTAGCTGTGTGTTATATGTATGTCCCCTCAGGAAACTCTTGCTGTGATTAGTGCTGGAGTGTCAGCCTCTTCCTCTGGTATAGGATAGAAGCCAAGGCAGTTTCTGTCACGTGACTGTGGGGAGGGAACACTTCTCCACAGAGGAGCGCTGACCCAGGCAGGAACTGTGGGGTTTTTCCTACTGACACTGAATCCCTAAACACAAGGGGAGCAGGGGGAAGCCCCTTACAGACCTGAGAGGACAGAGTCCTGTGGGGAGGACTCTCTTCAAAGGACCTGTGATGTACAGGGAGGGACAGAGTCTGGCTCAGGAGGCCCCCCAGGGACAAAGCTAGGACCCCCCACAGTCCATCCCCTGCCGGGCTACCCAGGGACCCACCAGGCAGAAGCCCAGGGCAGGGCTGAGTCCTGAGAAGGTGAAGTGCAGCCCTGACACCCGGACACGAGCACTTTCACGGGGCAGCACCTCACACAAGGTCACCCTGTCACTGGGACGGGTCAGGACAAAGTCAAGACCACTCAGCAGTCGGTCTGAGCACAGAGGAAGCAGGAACAGTGTGCAGACCTCAGCAGTGACCACCCTCCCTGTCCTGGCTGGGAGTGACCCATGACACCCCTGCACCTTCCTGACAGCATCCAGCCCAGAGCAGAGCCCTGCTTCCACACCCCCCCCCCAGTCCCCTGACAGCCCAGGGGTCACACCAGATCCTCCCTGACACCCCCTCTCTGAGACACCCCGGTTTCCTCCCCTGTGCATCCCCCCTCACTGCTCCAGGGATGGACACACCCTGTTCAACTGCACGTGTGTCCCGGGGCCTTTGGTTGGAGGGTGTGGGCACCACAGGTGTTGTCCCTGCAGCTCAGCCCCCTGGACCCACAGCAGCAGGCACCTGGGGGCCCACGGCCACTGTCTGGGACACGCTGAACCCAAAACTCGTGTGCCCCCCACTGTGGGGGGGGGTGTCCTCCTTCTTCGTGTCCCCGACCTCCACTTCCCTGCTGAGACCTGGTGGGCGGCGTGAGGGACTCCTTACTGCATGCAGGAGGAGCCCTTCCTGGGGGACGACCTGGGTCTGTCACGGGGCCTCAGAGAAGCAGGGAGGAAGGTGGGGGGGCAGGTGCTGGTGAGGAGCAGGGAGAGCTCTCAGGTGGGCCTGGAGCCTCTGACCTTGAGTCCAGGGAAACGAGGTGAGATCAAACATATGAGGCTCACCTGTAACCTTCAGCTCCACCTGATCATTTTCAAAGAAGTCTCCATCTTGGAAATAACACAGGTAGGTTCCTCTGTCAGAGGCTCTGATGTCCCTAATCCGGAGAGCAGCCTTCCCCACAGTGAGGTCCTCTCTTAAAATCGAAGTTCTCCCTCGAAACTCTGCTGCCGGCGTGTCCTCCTGCCCGTGTGCGTACGTGTGCACTACCTGCCTGCGGCTGGGTCGCTCCCACATCAGCTCCATGTTCTCAGCGCTCATCTTCGGGGACAGGTGACAGGGCAGCTCAGCGTCTTCACCCACCATGGCCAGGATGGGCTCGGGGGGTCCAACCACAGCAAACTGAGCTGGTCATCAGAAGGGGGGCTCCGTCAGAGGGAGCTGGGGCCAGAGGGCCAGGGGTGCCCCCAGCAGGGAGGGCGAGGGGAGAGGCACCTAGACAGGAACTCAGTCCTCACACAGGTGGGTCTGGACGGTCTTGCAGGGGTGGGGGTCCTGGGTCCTGACTGGGCCCCAAGGGAAAGGCTGCAGATGCACGAACGCAGAGCAGGTCCTACCTGAGCAGGGGCTGAGCAGCTGGACCACGGCGAGGCAGACAGGGAGGGCAGGCAGACGGGGGACCAGGCGCCTCACCATTGTTCCCTGCTGGGCAGAGAGAGACACCAGGAGGGGCTGGGTAGCAGTGACGACCTGGGAGAAGGTGGAGAATTCCACATGGAGACGCGTCCTCCCCAGGGCCAGCAGGGGCACAACCAGGATCCCTGCTGATGGGAGAGCCTCCTCTGCAAATGTCTCCTGGGGAGTCTCTTCACCTTGGACTCCAAAATGGAAATCATGCATGAAACATGGCCTGTAATGTACATACCGTAACCCTCACCTTCCAGGAGTCAGTCCTCAGACCTCCTGTGCGAACGTGCTCAGAATCCCTCCACTAGCCCACACTTTCCTGCCACAACCAGGTGCCCGCCTCCAGCATCACCCTCTGAGGAAGGCAGGCCCTTCTGCTCTGAGTCCCCGATCTCTCTGCTGCCCCCTGCAGGCCGTGCTCCACACAGCAGCCAGGACGTCCTGACCCCTCCCCTCCCTCCTGCTCAGCCCCTCCCAGGGGCTCCCAGTCCATCCAGAGCAGAAGCCAAATCCTTTGCACCCTGTACTTTTACAATTACCTGAATGTTTTCACTTAAAATTTTTTATAAGTTGGGAGTACAGTTCCACATATTTTGAGAATATTTATTGTTTTTTAAATTTCTGATTATACACAAAATAAAATGAAAAATAATACTACAAATTAAATAATTCATAATGGTAACCTTATACTTTGTTTTACAGAAATATTAATATTATAATATTTCTGGTTGGGTTTTGGGCACACATAAATGCCAGATGCCTTAAAAATGTACTGTACTTTGAGTACCAATTCAATAAGCAGGAATTACTCCCAAAGGAAAACAGATCAGGCTTTAACAAACAGAAAGACTTATGTTTAATGCTGTTCATCACAGGAAAATCTACAATAACAAATAATTGTAGATACAGTTAACTACACAAATGGGATCCAAGTTTGTTACCATTATAAGGAGAATTCTTTATTTAAGATGGGATCACTAAACCTACAATTAACTTAATACTGAATGGTGAAAATCTGGAAGCTTTTCCTCTAAGTTCAGGAATAAGAAATAGATGCCCACTGCTACCACTTTTACTCAATACAGTAGTGGAAGTCCTAGCCACAGCAGTGAGTCAAGACAAAGAAATGAAAAGCATACAAATCATAAAGGAAGAAGTAAAATTCTTACAACTGGTAGATGACATGATACAATACACAGAAGAACCTGAGGACTTCACACACACACACACACACACACACACACACACAGAACTAGTAAATGAACCCTGTAGCACTGCAGGATACAAAATCAGAAACCTGTTGCATTTCTATACCCTAGTGATGATTCATCCTAAGAAGAAACTTTATAAATATCTTTACATTTTCATCAAATGCATAAAATACATAGGAACAAATGTAAGGGAAGAGGTGGCAGACCTGTGCCCTGCCAACTGGAATATGATAAGGAGGGAACCTGGAGGGCACACACATCAGTGGGAGGACACACTGAGCTCGCGGGTGGAAGGGTTAACACACAGAGTGTCCTCAGGGCTACAGCAGCTCGCAGGTTCCAGCAAGGCCTAGGAAAACACCAGGGGTCGTCTCCTCAGAAGTAGGGCGACTAACCCTAAACTTGCTACGGGTCCAGAAAGACCCCACAAAGCCAATCAATCTTGAGAAAGAAGGAAGTTGGAGGTGTCACCCTGTCCTATAGCAACGTTACAGCATAAACACAGACTCTAGTTCAACGGGACCGAGCAGAGCCCGGACAGGAGCCCTCACTCACGTGGTCAGTTACTCTGTGACAACGGAGGGAGGAGCGGACAATGAGGCCAGAGTCTCTCAAAACCATGGGAACACTGGACAGACACAGGAGAAGCAATGTACCCGGATGACTCTCTTGTACCACCTGCCAGGAAAGGAAAGTGGATCAGAGATTTAAGGAAAACCTGAGACCAGAAAACCAGGAGAAAACACAGGTGGTGAGGACACTGTGGTTCTGCTCGTCGTGACGTCCCTTTGGGTGAGTCTCCTCCGGCGAGGGCAAGGAAGGACGAACAGACAGATGGGACCATGACCAAATAACAAGTGTTTGCACAGCACGGGAACCATCAACCAAACAAAAAAGACAATGTACTAAATGAAGAAGACATTTTCCAATAATGCAATTTAAAAAGTGTTTAACCCTGGCCGGTGTGGCTCAGTGTGTTGAGTGCCCGCCTGCGATCCAAAAGGTCACCAGTTCGATTCCCAGTCAGGGCGCAGGCCTGGGATGTGGGCCAGGTCCCCAGCTGGGGCCCTGCGAGAGGCAACTGATCGATGTTTCTCCTGAACTCCAATGTCTCTCTCCTCTTTCTCCCTGTTTTTCCCTCTCTCTACAAATAAGTAAATGGATACTTGAAATAAATAAATTAAATAAAATGCAGATAGTAATTAGACCTACTTTTTAAAGAAGGCTTTCATTTGGAAAATGTATACAGAATTCATATAACTAAACACCAATAAAAACAAACAATCTTGTTTAGAAAATGAGCAGTGGACCTGAAGAGACAGTTTTCCAAAGAGTCAGTGCAGACGCATGGACTGGAACCTGCTCTGTGGTCAGACAGTGTGTGTGGATTCTTTCTCCAACTGTCCTGTATGGGGGGGTGTTCAGATTTTTCATTTTACAAACAATTTTGTAATGAATGTCTTTACATATGAATCTCTTTTCTAATCCTCACCTGAAGGCATTTTTTTTCATTGCTTTTTGAGAGAGAGAGGAAGAGGGAGAGAGTAGGAGGTAAATAGAGGAAGAGAGTGGGGCAGAGAGAGAAGCATCAGTTGATTGCCTCTCACAGGCACCCAACCCGTGGTTGGAACCAGAGATCTAGGTTCCTGCCCTGACCAGTAACCGAACCCCCATCCTTTTGGTGAGTGGGACGATGCTCCAACCAACTGAGCTACACTGGCCAGGGTTGTACAATAAACCTTTAAGATGAACACCTGGTAACCCAATCATTCTTTCCACATTATTTCTGTAAATGATGACCTGCTCACTTATATGTGACTCAGATAAACAGCCAGTTTGCTGAAGAATTCCAGACACTGACTTCAGAATGAGCTCAGTCCACCCTCAGACATTCAGCTCTGGGAGGTTTGCTGACCTCGACCAGGAACCTGAACAGACTGTGTTGTTTGCACTTGTCCCCTCGACACAGAACTCTCAACACCCTCCTTTCTGTGTTTTTTGTTGTATATTTTTATTTTCCTCCTTCTCTCTGCTTACAAACACCCCTGCCTGTGTCCATTGTTCAGATGGTCTTTGAGCTGAGACCCCATCAGCTCGAGCTGCAGGACCTTGAATGGACCTGCTTTCCTCCCACAAGTCCCTGTCTCTCTGCTATTGGTTTATAGGCAGGAGGTAGCCAAACCTGGATTCAATATCAATGTCTCTTCTTGAATGCCCTAGAACACCTTCCCTGAGAAGAGCAGGAGACACTGTAGGAGGTCTTGCTCTTACTTCAGGAATTTCCTAGGGAGGGGCAGGTGTCCAGCTCCCTGGTTCCCGTTGTCTCCCTCCCACAGGTGTCCCAGTGCAGACCTTACCTGCCCTGCTCCACGCTCCCCCTGTGCCCTCACCTGCAGGCTCACAGCACGACACTCCTCTGCATGAGGGACACCCTGCAGGCTCCCCCAGCTCCTCAGCCTCTCTCCTAAAGGGACCTGGCTTTCACCAGCTCCCGGTAATTAACCTTTGCACTCTCAACTGAAAATCACAGAGCAAAGGTACTCGAGGGTTATTTTATAGGTGAGTCTCTGATATGGATGAAAGGGTGGGGAAGGAGAAGGGTGCTCAGCAAGGGAAGCAGGGCAAAGTTCCTCTTTGAAAACACTTGTTCTCTGATTGGCTCAGAGCCTTTGTCTCATCAGTTGCTGGGCAGAAACCAGCAGTCAAGGTTGGCATGAACAGGGACCCGGAGTTGGATGGACCAGTGCAGACCCACTCCAGCCCTGACTCCCACCCTCTGTGTCTCTCTGTGTGGTCACCTGCGTGAATCAGTCCTGGGTGTGGGTGGGTGTGAGCAGTACCTCACTGTACACACCTGCTGCATGTCACTTGTGTCACAGTGTGTTCAGCAGAGGAACCAGGACAGAGCAGCAGAGGGCAGTGTGGGAGCAGAGGAGGGTGCAGGAGTTACAGGGTCACTGTGGTCGTTGGCTAACGACTTTGACAGCAGAGCCCAGTGCAGGTGTGACAGAGAGAGGGCAGGCCCCCCCACCTGTCCTGGCCCCTGTGACACTCAGGTCTCAGATCCACCCCAGGCAGCACCGTGTTCAGGTTCCCACGGGCGGTGCTGTCAGGGGCCAATGGGCAGGTTCCAGGTTTTCCAGGGAAGGTTCATGGGGGCGTTGCTGAGAAGGTCCATCCACCCTCTGCCCCCATCTGAGCTGCACTTGGGTTTCAGGTGTGCTCACTTCCCTCTGCTGCAGGATCTGTGTTCTCTGAGGTTGGATGGGAGAGGATGTGAGTGTGTCTGTCAGGGGACTTGGGGACCAGCAGGGTCCACCTGTGGCCTGGGGCCTCCAGAGACACTGTGTTTAGGTCTCAAGGCTGTGAGTTGAGCCCCCAGGGCAGAGTGCGACTGTGGTTGATGGACTGTGATGCATCCCATTGTGTGAATGTGGGTTCTGGGGTGGAGGTGGCTGCTCCCTTGTGCCACTTCTGTTCCCTGCTGCTCCTCAGTGAACAAAATCTGTTTCTGGGGGGAGGGTACTGCACTGTGCCCATCCCTCTCGATGACCGGAGTATCTAGGGCACAGGAGGCAAACACAAGGCCCGACGACCAAAATCGACCCTCTGCTTCGTTTTATCCGGCCCAGCAGCTAGATTCTACCTGGCATCAGTGCCGAGCTCCTAGCCCCTACTTAAGGAGTAGTTACATTTGTACGGTCCTAAAATTACATTCAATACTTTGAAGGCAACCATGAGGCTGATGTTGTCTCCAGGGAAAATGAGTTTGACAAACCTGAATTCTAGGGACTGAGTTTGAGCCGATGGTTTGCAGGTGGGTGCTGTGTGTTGTGTTTCTCCAGAGAGATCCACGCTCCTCCCACTCCCTCCTTCCTCTTGGGTGGACACCGTCTCTGGACCTGGAGCTCAGCAGCCATCTCATTGCCAAAAGGCCACCTGGGGATGGACGCCACACACAGAGAGGGCAGAGAATGGAGACAGGTGGAGGCTGGGGTGTGGATGCCTCTCTGAGCTCTCAGACCAGCCCTGGGCCGCTGCCCTCTGGGGTCATCTCCCGTGAGAGGAACGTGGACCCGTGTTTAGCTGAAGCCCCGGGCACCTCTGGTCTCTGTTACCAGCAGCAGAACCCGGTTCTTCCCGCCCCATCCCCTCTGTCAGCAGTTTGTCAGGAAAACTACAAACACAGAGCACAGTTGAGGGAATGTTTCAATGAACATAAATAAACCTACTGCTCATTTTCTACTAGTTTCTCCTTGTCCTTTTTTTTAAACTGTCCTATAATTTTAAAAATTGAATGTGTTGGGTGATACTAATTCACAAAGCCATGTAGATTTGAAGTGTACAATCCAATAAAACTTCATCTGCACACTGCTCTGTGCACCTGTCATTGCAAGGAAAGTCCCTTTCTGTCCCCATTTTTTGCCCCTTTGCCCACCTCCACCCAACCCCAACACCCTTTCCTTCTGGCTGTGACCAACAGTTGTGTGTGTGTGTGTGTGTGTGTGTGTGCATGTGTGTTTATGGCTCATTCCTTCACCTTCTCCCACTCAGCCCCCCCACCCCTCCCTTCTGACGGCTGTCAGTCTGCCCTGTGCATCCAGGCCTCTGCACGCCCACTGTTGAGGGTCCACAGTGCACGTTTATAACACACGCTTACTTCATAATCATCCATCCTTCTGTTGATGTCTTATGCTTACTCATCTGGAGCCTTTTAGAGTAAGCTGGGAGCATCAGCACACCTTCCCCTGGGAACTTGCACACACCTGTCACAGAGAACTCAATCCTGAAATCTGCGAAGCACCGAAGCTGTGTTTAAAACGTGGATGTAGGAGTAATTTTCTGTTGTAATTTCAGAACAATCAAAGGATATCCCTCACTTCTAAATGCCTAGTTTCCCTCCTTTCATGGACGGTCTGACCCAGGTCTCTGGCCCCTCCTACTAAGTTCAAGGCCACCTCCAATGTTCTGTCAGCAGGATGCTCCCCACAGCCTGACACAGGACAAGCACCCACTCAGGCCTCTAGTGTAGGTCTCCTGGCATCTGATGACAGAGGTTCTGGCTTCTCCGCTGATGCCACAGCAGGAGACTGTCGTTCCTGGGGACCTGTAGGATGCGGGGCCTCCATGAATCCCCTCAAGAATGGCAGTGTGAACCCTGAGAAAAAAAGCCACCCCTAACAAGGGGTCTTGGTGGGTACCTGGGCTCACATTTTGAAACACACAGCCCAGGAGCCATTTCTGCTCAGGGTCCCTCAGGCAAAGTAGACTTCACAGAGAGGACTCCACTGGTCTGCCCACCTTTGCACTGACCCTTCCCACACGTGATTTTTCCCAGTGAGCCCACCCTTCTGCAGATGCTCCCAGAAGCCCACTTCAAGCAATAAGACTCAGGCTTTAGCCTTCCAGGCACAGGTGTGCAGGTCGGGCCAATCAGAGCAGCTCAAACAAGAAAGTGACTTTTGAACCAATCAAACAGTAAGGACTTGGAGTCCTCATTTGCATGAGGGTGAGCCATTCAGGGACTAGAGTCTAGGGACAGGGACTCCTGGGTTTGGAAGGCCCCTCCCCTCTGTGTCCGAGACGCAGTTTCTCTTCCCACCTGGGACTGAACCTGGAGCAGAGGGGGCACATGTCTCCCAGGGCAGAGCAGCGGCGCAGAGCTGACTGGGGGCAGCTGTCCAGTCACTCAGTGGTCTGGGCCCTGGGCCTCTTGTGTCCAGGACAGTCCCACAGCCCCGTTCCCACGTCCCTGCTCCGTCCCAGTGCAGCTGATTTGCACGGAGCAGACCCCTTCCCTGCCCCCCAGTCTGGGGGTCCCTGTTGCTGTGGAATCGGCCGGGACCGTGGGCGCCGGCAGGAAGCTGCGGAAAGGCATGTGGTTGGCTCAGAGGGTAAATGCAGTGGGAGCCGGGGCCTGCGGCGCAGAGCACTGGGGCTGCACGAGAGCTCTCCCTGCCCGTGGTCAGCTGGGGCGACAGGCGCGTCCCTCCCAGCCAACCCCACGGGGGACAGGGAGTGACTTTCCAGCCCAGGTCAGGCTGCAGCCAGCGACGGGGGGAGCCCCTTCTCTGAGAGCCCCCTGCTGTCTCACCCACAGATTCATCCCCCGAAGGCTTTGCTGCTAGAAGTCGTATCAGCAAGAGGGACACCTGAGCATCGTTGGGAGCACCCCGGTTTCTCTGACACAGAGAAGCCGCCTCGTTCCTAACCTGGATGGGAGCTTCTGGGCCTAAAGCTTCGAGCCTCTTTAGTTTCCCGGGATCCAGGGTCCCAGGCGAAGTTCTCTCCTAGACCTGTGGGTGGCGCTGGGAGGGAAATGGGTGTGAAATGGGTCAACATACTCAGAAAGGTCCCTTTTCACTAGAGAAAGCTGTGCTGTAGGGAAGGTTCCCTGCTCTGCACGTGTGTGTCTGAGGGTGTTGTCAGGCCACAGGGAGGGGCCGCCCAGCAACGCTGGTCTCCACTGCGGCGAGGACGACGTCCGACTGAGTCGGGCACCGGGGAAGGCCGGTCCGGGCCCGGAAACAGAAAAGCAGGTGCCTGTGGATCCGACCCGACATGAGGAGGAGGAGCAGAGCGGGGGGAGGACCGCCAGGGCCACCGTCCAGGCAGGGGGCTGGGGATGAAGACTCCTTCTGGAGGGAAGACTGGAAAAGTCCCAGTCAGTGAGACCAGGGAGACCCAGGCGAGAGCACCCCTGGGTGCCCCTCTGAGGAGCTCACTCAGGTCCCTGCTCTGTCCTGTTCCCTCCCAGGAGCCACAGTGGGGGCCGCGGCTGGGGGCTGGTGCAGACAACTCACACACGAGGACCCACAGAGCAGAGGCCGCCCCTGTGGCCCACACAACACGCCCACGCTGACGTCTGCTGGGCGCGCTGGAATCACCCCGTTGTCAGGGAAACTGACAGACGCCCAGGACAACCCTCCCAGCAGCTCAGCCACTCACCTGCCCCCACACACACACAGGAGCAGCTGCCTCACCAGGACACCCCGCCCCCCAGACAGTCAGGCCCTTTCTGCCTCTGTACCCCTTCCTGTCACCCCAAATCTCTGGGGGGGGGCTCCCCTCCTGGTGAGGCCCTGCAGCCCCCAGTCCACGGACGGTTTTCCCTCAAACAGAAGCCGTCAGCTGGTCACCAAGTAGTTCTAGTTGTGTCACCTGTCAGGGCCGAGGAGACAGAGGAGCAGCAGCACCTGCAGTCCCCGTGGGAAGGACCAGATGAATGAAAACCGACAACCGTCACCGTCCCCAGCTGAGCCGCCCTCACTGGGGCCTGGTCACCGCAACCCCCTCCTTCCGGCTTCTGCTCCAGTCCCTGCCCTGGCTCCTGTCTCACCGAGACTCCACCACAGGCCCCCTGGGACCTGCTTTGCCCCGTCTGGTCTGGGCCCTTCCAGATCCGCACCCCCCTCCCCCCATCCTCCCTGCACTCAGTCCCTCCACCAGCACCTGCCTCTCTGGTTCCTCCAAACTCCCAGACGTGCTGCCTCAGGCC